CGTATCGTCTTCTCCAAACATCGTAGGAGGACTGGAGTGTTCTAAACGATATGGGTTGTACATCTTCGGCGGCTTCAGATCGTCCGTCGAAAAACGATCCGTTACTGGATCCGCCGCCGCCACAGGAACTGGACCCCAGAATTCCTCTGACGGCGAGGCAGAAATTCAGTATTCAAAAATCGTGGAAAGCAATCCAGAGGAACATGGAGGGTGTCGGCATGGATATTTTTATAAGGTAAAAATCACATTACTGTATAAACCCAACACACTGTCCATCACAGAGTCAGAAATTACATATTTTACCGTGCATCATCATTCATATAAACATGACCTCGACGTAATATCATTTAAAATCGGGGATACACCATCCTAAATTGAATCGGCTTAGTAATATTATAGATTACAAATATTATTTTCACAAATATAAAAGAGATGTAATTGAATACAATAGTCACACATTTCAAGTCCCGCGTTATTTAGCGCTAATGATCATGGGTCAGACACATCGTACATGTACCTAACATATTGTTATATTGTGAATAAATAATGTCGTCTTCGACCGGTACACTGCTGATGGTTTTGATATGGCCAATATACACTGATTTTTTTTTTTACCGATGACATCAATTGCTGGAATGGGGTGTCATGTATCAATGCTTTCAGCTTGCTTATGCCGTATTAATACGAGGGAAACGGCAGGGGAGGGGGGGAGACTGTAAGACTGTATATGATATTATATGTGTTATTGGCCGCTTATATTTACGAGTACCGGTGGAAATAACATCACCAACTAGAAACTGAACGCAGGTGCTAGAAGGATCGCTACACGTCGCATCCAGCCATTGCGGGAGCCATTGTCATCGCTGATGTACGTGTTTACCAAGCACTGTAACTCTATACCGGGAGGTTCATGATTAGTACGAGAGCCTGGAGTAGATGGATATTACGGTGACGCACACGCGTATGCCCGGATTGCGAACTTTAAAAATACCTGACCCTAACATACGCTAAAAATAAAAATAACACAGCGAAGGTCAAGTTGTACTAGCAGCCGCGAGATCGTGGCATGCAGCGTCGACGTCGGTTACCGCATTGTTGGATGCAGCACGGTTACTAAAAAAAGAAGTAACCGTGGATGCAGTGAAAAATGGCTTCATTCGCTGTATTTTTTGTGTCTTCGTGTCACATATATATATTATGCATATTAAAGGTTTAAACGTCGTATTTATAAAACGAAAATACTAAACACGAGATGAATTGAGCACATGGCTGCAGTACAGACCATAGGGAGGCCAGTTGGGGACACGTCGAAAAGGGAACACACGACTCACGTAACAGCGTCATGGTATATTTTTTAATTCTGATATGTAATAGCCACGGGATGCGGCTGAATCATGTCGCACGTCTTGTTTTTTTTTTTACTTAATTGTGATCGTGATCTAACATAAACCACAGGCACGGTATTGGCGCCTCCGAAACGTTAGAAAACCGAGTGGAGCTGTATCATTAACGTGGACAGCCCACGTCATCAATTCCATTTGCGATTTAAAAGCCGCTGCATACTGGAATTACAAAAGCCCTGTAAATGTACGAGGAATTACAACCATGATACAGGGAGTTATGCCCAACCGTTTGTTTTCAGCGGCGTGTTCCACGTGCACAACATTACGCCAGTGTTTCGCACACATTGAGCGAATTGATGTTTTCTATGGCAGTACTTACAATAAAGTCGATTTCTCGCGTGACTCATGAAACGGACAAGTGAGGTTTTATTAAATTATTTTCTTCATTAAGAGCTCACAGCTCGTTTAACCACGGAATATGGCCGGCCGACCGGTACAGAAAAAGCCTTAGTATCAGGCCATGATCGGACTGAAACATTTCATTAGTCTGGTCGACCTGATTTAATTTGATTGAGTGATTTGATAAAATCAACTGTCTGTTAAGACAGCAAGAGTGTTGCTCCGAAGCTGATATATAAACAACCGTATGAATTATTAATTAACGGTTAAACGCATAAATGCCATTATATTGTACTCGACGTAATGGCAGTTCAGAACGGAAGGAAACGACCCTGAAAATGATCGACTCTCGTCAATCACTGTGGTGACGCCAGTTAACATTATTGTAAAAAAAGCGGACCATATAACGCTGAAAATAGCGTGATTATTTAATTCAACTCAAATTAGCCCGGTAACTGAATATCACACAGAATTTAATATGAAAATGAAAATGAAAGTATGGGCCGGCATGGTGTGATCTCAAAGATTTAATACGCATACATAAAACATACCTCGTTTTTTGAGTTATTTTATCTTGTCATATATATGACGCTCCGGATATTGCGCTCATTTCAACAATCCCACAAGTAAACTATTATGAATAATTTTGTTATGAGTCCTAGTTGCTAAGCAATAGACTTTCAACAAACAAGCTTTGCATCGTACTCTTCTGTAAAATAAAATGGTTTCAACACGTTACTCCCTCGTTAGATTTGTTCTTTTTTATTCTTATTTTTTTTATCTTTTATGATATGACATGAATGAATAACAAATTCCGACAGCTACACTGAGAACAATTTTTATTAACAGACAAATCGCAGTAAGAGTGAGCATTGTCATGGTAACGTGTTTACAGTGATCTCTGTATATAGGCGTACACAAGAACACGAATACCAGTAATATCGGTCACTTTAATTGTGTCAATTGACATCCTGTCGAATTAACACCTAACCTTTGTCAAATGTTACGAAATAATGAATACCCACATAGTACAGACACAGAATCAAGTAAAAATTGTCAAGGTTATTCGAAGATTATTCAATGCGTCCGGAAATCGATTGATTCCATTTTGTTCAGTATTTATTCCAAATTAAAATAATTTTATACTGTATTATGTTTTCTGTGCTCTGAATGCACGTGCCTGTATCGATCGGTAATTGTATGAAGAATGAAGATAATGCATTACAAATCGGTTGTATTGAGCACACATGTCACGTGACAAATGTGAAATCTTTAGTTGCTCACTTTGTACAATCAAAGTATGTCGGCTCGGATACAACATTTACTGCACGCGCTATTACACCGCATAAAATGAATATTGATGTGACAGTAAAGTACACGTGGTCTTAAAACACACGCAATTAATGATTTGTATAGGCTAATATGTAAATTGATAACAACCTGCGGCCATGTTCTTGGTCGCCATGGTAATATCGGGAAGACGCATAAGTGCATGAGTGTTGTGAGATGAGAGGGATTTTCTAGAGATTTTCTGCATTCATACAAGTGAATTGTTGAGTATGTGTGTTCAGGTCCGATAATAGTTTCTCTGAAATTGGGAGAATGTTACGTATACGTGAAAGGATGCCGGATTTCCTTATCATGACTGATATTGTAACTTAGCACCATTCGTGTTTTTCTTTAATTACTATTGGTATAAAAGATTTCAAAATGTGAAATAACGGTCACTGTGAAAAAGAGGATTTGAGTCCAGTAGCGCTGTCACGATGATACAGCAACAAGTCCGAAAAAAAAATATTATTTTATTCAAATACACGGTGTGAACAAACAAGAAAGGTACTACAAATCTAAAATATTGCCACGCGTATAGATGCGCGCGCGAGATACGCGATACCAATTGGACGAGGCAAGTGACTGTGACATTACGAACGCCAACACGCCCTGGTTGACATGAACCGTGCAGGCAAGACCTTGGAACATCGCGGCAATTGAAATCAATCTTAAATAGAACGGTTTAGGCAAACTCGCTTACTTTAACTGAAAACAAAAATGAAAACGAGTTAGACAAGCAACCGACTCTGACGATATCTTGAAATTGGAAGGGGTGTACTTGACGTGGGTGACGTCGGGATCTGTGGTGTTAATGGAATTTAATATGTATTTCAAGGTTGTTAATCGATGTACGTTGTATATCTCTTCACGGTTCTTCAAAACGACCACGTGCACGCGGCAGCGATGCTCTTTTAAATTATTCAGATATTATAACAGATTTGTCATTGTAGGGATACACTTACTCGAAACTAAAGAAGCCGTTTGATGTTCAAGTTTAAGGCAAATTCCTAATAATATAAATCTAGGCTACAAATAGAACGACGGGTTAAGCCGTGAAAGAAAATGTTTCGATATGATATTATTAAATCTCTACAAGAAGAATAAAGTGAATGATATGAATTTCCAACGTACTAACTTACATCAGTCAATATGATGAGTTCCAAAGTTCAGGTTTATTTAACAGAAATGATTCAATACATAAGCATGCTCTTATAGTCGTCATTCCACGCGTACTTACTGTGTGCGATATCCGCGTTTTTATATACAGAATGTGATTACCGGGATATTATTATCGTATTATAATCTAGTATATGAATAGGAGAATCGTTTCTTGAAAAACAAGCTGTTATATATGCCCACATCTTAAACGCGTTTAAAATTTCATAGTTCAACCTCAGACCACTGAAAGAAAGTGGTTTGATGTTCATCTCAAACAACTCTATTTTCTCCCATGCTGCTGAACTGAGAACATGGCATATGAATGCCTAAACAAATAGCGACTATTAAAGAGAGTACTCAGTGGTAAATTCTAAACCATGACATACACGCTAAGTAAGTGAACTACTGCGGACGAATGTGTCGCATTTGTAGTAATGTTAATACTACGAACTATGATGAATTCATCAAAGATTGAAATGCAATGACAGCGTCAAGTTGAACGTCGCGTTTGAAAAGACAGTATAAATCACGACGAATTTGACGGAGAATATGTACGTATATTAACCATTATATTCATACAGTTGCCATGGCAACGCGTCGCAAAACTATCTTAATTGTTATAACGACTCACGAGTAAGACTTCAATTGGTTCTATATTAGATAAAGGATTTCTGACAGTGACAGCGATACAATGTAATACAACACATACAGCATATCACACGTACAACACGAACTATATAGGTAAACAAAATGGCGCCCGAAAACGCAGGATGATATCTGAGATGTAGAGAAGATGCAAATGGTGAAAATAGGGCACACTTTCATAATTAATTAAGCCATAATTGACCGTTTCGAAAAATTGGAAAGGCAGCCGTGTGTAAAATTACCGAGTCATGTGGCACTGCTTGTGATCTGTCGATAAAGTTCAAGACGCAACAGGGCATTTTTAATCCGACATTGAGTGTTCGAATTCACCATGGTATAATGTCGCAAAAGGTGCCAAACATTGAATTCGTCCGTTATATAGAAACAACACAATCTAAGAATCGCCCGACGTCTAAATTTCTATTGGTTTTATAGCAACTAGTCTGCCGAGAACTGCGCCTTTACGGAGACTGCGTTTTAAAGTACAGTACAACTGGAAGGTTGATATTGCTTGTGTAAATTTTCAATTTCGTAGACCCAATAACGCAAACATTTGTCAAATTATGACAGACTCGCCGCGGTGAGAGAAAATATTTATTTTTGTAAAAATTTTCCAATATGAAATTTATAACTTGGGAAGAAAACACGTCTCCGATTCAATTACCCGAATAAAGAGGAGCTCACATCTTTCGCAAAAGATTAACTTCTCGTGGAAACAATTTATTGCTTGCGAATTCCAGAAATTCTTCTTCATTTTGAATTCCTTTTGATTTCAAATGTCGAAGCATATTGAGAGAGTATGACCTTTCCCCTAAACCGCGGTTCTCGAAACAACCCTAATTGTGTTTCATTGATAACACACCATTGACATACGCCAATCGCTTTAGACATGAGAATTCACTCCAGTTTCCGTCGCTGTGTTCAATCGTTTGTGCAATTATCACCCCCGATCTTTTACAACAATTCTCGTAAAGTTATCTCCATTTTTAAGTTCACGTTTTGAAGAATGAACTCAGTAGCTGACTTCTATTGAATAGTAATATATACGATTCCCCAGCGACGGCCGCGTCAAGTATGGCACATGCGTCAGAGTTTTATAAATCATCCCTTTGGTTATAACATCCATTACACACGATAATAAGACACGCAGAAACAGATAATGAACATTTTGCTTAAATGTTTCTTTTAAAAGTTACCAAATTAAGTGTCCTTTCATAATCGCCGGGAGCACTGAGTGCTATAAAAATCCATCTTCTCCCTCGCTGGGCCTGATAACAAGCATTGATCACAATTACCATGACAACGTATAAACAAATCATTTATTGTTCCGAAGTATTTAAGATTATTTTCAATTTTTGCTTTTATTTTCGGCCAACCTCAGAATGACTGGGATCTTTTCTGCATGTAGATAATATATATTAAAAAAGGAATGACTGAAGTCAAATAAAATTGAGAAAGGTCAAATAAATATGTACTCGCGTAAATCACAGCTATAAAATTGACGACTGTAAGGTGTATTTTTTGCCAAGGTGAATATTTACTCATAACGTAAGATACTAATAGTTCTGAAGCCGACATTTGATATATTGTAAATCATATATTATAATACATTTTAATGATTCTAATCCCATTTCCACTCTCAACAGATTATTTAAAGCTCATCCTGAATATCAAGATCTTTTTCCAGAATTCAAAGGAATGTCAGAAGAGAAACTACGTAATAGCATCAACTTTGAAACTCACGTGGGCATCTTTATGAACGTTATTGACGAATGTATCGACAGCCTCGAAGATGCGGATCACGTGATTAATTTACTGACGAAAAAAGGACGTAAACACGCCAATTACGGAGTTAAACCAGAGTTTATCTCGGTAGGTCACATTAATTAAGGCGTTTGCTTTACACTATGCATGGTAACAACCAGTGATTGAAATGAACGTTCTGTATTTTTTAAAAATTTTCAACAGACATTCTGAAAGTATTTACAATGTGAATAGCATCAAATTAATGCTATCCAAATTACCCAGGTTCGGGTCAGCTCTATGAATGTGTTAGTGACATAATTTCCATGTTTGATTGCGACTAATGATGCGTACAAGTCGGCATTAATTTTACGATATCATCGTATACTTTTGTCGGAAGAAACTGCGCTTCTGAGTGACGTGTCATACACGGTTACTAACCGTGTGTCATATAAGCACGTCAGTTTGTACACGTGACACGTTGATGAATTAGCTTTGATTTACATTTAGATTTGTATGTGTTTGGGGCTGAATTATATTCAAACCAGCAAATTGACTAGAATATTTGCACACTGTCTTTTTTTACAATGTCAAATTACGCATATTGGACATTCAATTAATTAATAATTCCTAATAAAAACTTGAAAACATCGAAGTTAAATGACATCTTCTGAGGTGTGAATTAATCCTCGGGCATATGTCCACGCATTCTAACCCACGTCATGTGCCAGTGTTTATTTCCGATCACTCACCAAGCATACAATCAACCACTCCGCCTAGCTATTGCAGTAACAGTTGAACAATGGGGACATGATAAAGACGATCTATCAGACCTATCAATACTCCAGTTTTATACATATTTTTTTGACAATTCCAATAAAAATGCTACATTCAATCAACACAGTAGTACTTGATAGCAGTAACACGAAACAACGCTTATATTCGCTATTAAAGAAGAGGTCACGAACTATAATTACGTCAATTACACGGGTTAAGATAAGCTAAGTGATCATGACGTCAGACGTCTGTACGTCACCTTTACGACGCCTTACTCTTTGTTTACATCCGGGGTCTACATACATTACTGATGATTGTGATGCCCTTTTTTCTCTTCCTGATAGGATATAGAAGAACCGTTTTTAGCGTCCGTCAAACAGCTACTGGAAGATCGATACTCTGAAAAAATTGAAGAAATTTATAAATTGACAATTAAATTCATCCTAGAACACTTTATAAATGGCCTGAAAGAAAGTGTCGGATAAGACCTGATTATCAACGTTATGAATAATATGCAAGACATTTTTGTATCCTAGTTCTTCTGCGTGGGAGCAGTGTGGAGAAAAAACACAACAAGCGACAGTCGATGTTTCTTTTCTTTTCTGATCACGCCCTCAATCAGTAATACTATAGTTTTCAAATTGGTGTTTCGTAGTCGACACAGAGGGCGCATAACCGACTCACGCTTTATCATTACATTCCTCATATTTGGCGTTCAGGATTACCTGATGAACTCCGGTCTGAAATGAACCAGAATGGCTACGTACACCTTAACCGACTGTAACAAAGGTGCACATGTGTGCCTTTCCTTGGACTGTGCACTGAAACAGACGAAGTACATTACATGCAGTTTTTCACTGTAACGATATCACATGTTTTGTTATACCAGTAATTTTAACCGTGGCACGTGACACATATTTTGTAGATTTACGAAAAAAAAATACATTTTTTTAGATTTTTAAATATTTGCCAATGTTTATTCTAAATATGAAAATGTATTTACACATTTGCTGTTATTAAAACGTTTAACGCAAATAATGGTTG